AGCTTTGTCTATACAAGTTCAGTCCATTTCTGGTCAAAGAGTTCAACACATAACTTTTCTTTGCCACCTGGATCATTTCAGCCTGATAAACTACAGTGAACCTACCTACCATGTGTAAGGGGAGATAACCAGGATAAACCTCAATATGATAAACTACAGTGGACCCTACCTACCATGTGTAAGGGGAGATAACCAGGCTAAACTTCAATATGATAAATTATAGTGGACCCTACCTACCATGTGTAACGGGAGATACCCAGGATAAACCTCAATATGATAAATTATAGTGGACCCTACCTACCAAGTGTAAGGGGAGATAACCAGATTAAACTTACCTGCCACTCTGAAGCTGTATATGTAATCCAGTGAACGGTTCCATTCGGATCATGTAATGCATCACGCCGGCCGCGTTTGAGTAGTGAGTGCCGTAGTGGAACTTCTCAATCACTCCTGAAGGGTCCTCAAACGTTTCAAATCTGCAAAAAAAGATTAAATGATGAAATGAACACCAACACAACATCAATATCTGATTAAGATCATAAACATACTGAAAATGTAGGGCTCACCAACGAACCTCATTTTTTTCACGACAAAAAATGTCTGGACAGGTATTATTTTTCTAGGGGATTAATGCTATGAATACGATTGCAGTAAATGAAGCCCAATGTGTTCAATCTATTGCCTCTGATCACCTTTCTTATCCGGATCAAAATGTGTCTCATTTGATGTTTTTAAAGAGCTGTCTTCAGCAACAAAACCTGAAGACCATGATTATGTTTCCAACACATGGTACCTTGAGATACAAAGTTTAACCAATGTCAACTAAACACTAAGTAAGTCTTCAGAGATCAATAGGCTTTGAATTGACATGACCTACTTTTCTCGTACGTTCTCCGTGCTCTTTGCGTTCACAGCTCCGATAGGCTTGGACAAATCTCGGAAGACAGTTGGATTGTCCAAGTCAAGTGTTTCTGAGGTATAGTCACTAAGTATCCATGGAAACTGATACAAAAAAAATAAAGTTTATATATACAATAACTTCTCATATCGTTGTATTCTTACATCTATATTTCTTTGAAAATTGCCATGAACTTACAGATATACATTGAAACCTGACTTTACCAACACTTGACATTATAATATACAGGCAAACCTGACTTTGCATACAGCCTGTAATATCCAGTGAACCTGACTTTATTGACACCTGAGTATACTGACACCTGACTTTGCATACAACCTGTATAATGTTTGATACAATGTTTAGGCTTGTTTCTTTGTCTTTGAACTGACTTTACTGACACACTGTCTTTAAAAACAGTATTATAAACTGGCATGTCTTTGAACTCTACAGAACATTACCACAGGGTATTGGCTGAGGTCGTTGTAAGTCCTGCCTGCGATGGTATTGAGCTGTATTAGGTAGTCAAAGTTAGAAATCTCCCTCTGTACCCATTTCTGTGGGGGGGGAAAAGGAAGAAAATATTCAACCAATACTTTTCCATTTTACAAGGCAATATAAAACTAAAATTATAATTTGCAAGAAATCTTGTAAGAAAACAATTCAAGAAGGCAATCAAGGTTTATATGGTATCCAAGTATCCACACATTCTGCTATAAGTACAAAATTTAACTCATTCACCTCAGGGCGAAAATTTCATAATGAACT